TGTGGTCTTGACAAGAAACACAGAGAGATTTAAATAACTGGATAAATATAACATTTTTGTTTAGGTGTTGATATTTCACCTGTACCACACATAATAATTTACATGACATAGCTTCAGGCTGTGAAGTCCTTGTGAACACGGAATTTCAACCAACAACATTGAACTAGTGTGTACCATACCATGTGTTGGTTCTCTTCATTTCACCGACTGTCAGGCGTATAGAGTATAAATAACCATGTGAAAACAGCCCATCCTCGAGAGTAACAATCACTTCCTTTCCAAAAATAATCGCTCGTCAACTTTGACAGCAAATACTTTAATAATAACACAATTATCTATTTAGACGTAATAGCAATGAACAAAAATACACAAACAGAAAAGCTCAAGATGTGATAAAAATTATGTTATAATTTATTAGAATTTAAAAATGATGGCAAGACTGGTTATCTTTTTTCAGTGTCTGGTGTAATACAGCACAGAATAAGTACCATGGATGCATGGGTAAGCCACTTCTAGCTAACTCTGATTTCTGGGCTACATCAGGAACAAAATACCTTATCACTATATATATATATAACTTCTATAAGCACAGAGCAGAATGCGCAACCCCCAAATCTATATATACAAAATGAAAAGCAAGCAAGTGCTATAGAAATATGGAATTGTGGATTGTTTAGCTCCTAAAGCATAGCATCTAGTCAGAGTGTAACAAGTAACCACAAATCTCACGATGGTAAGTTTTTTGATACTGCTGTATCCCACAAGAGTTATTGCAGTTGTCCCCATGCTTGTTTCTCAATAGAAAACAATGCAGCTGACAACTACAGCTGTACAACACTACTAAATGGTTCAAGTTATTCTAGATATCAGCAGTTATTTTGCATGTTTTGGAAGATAAAGACCTTCCCAAATGAAGATCCGAGTCACCAACTACAGTCTCATCTCTATGGTTAAACAGGACACCTAATGGAAGATTAGCATGTAGTGTTTTTTTGTCTTGACAATAAGAATGATTTGGAAATCATTTTAATAATTTATACAAAAATAACTAATTGAGAAGAATAACTATAAAATAACAAGCAGCCTATCAGCTGAGATAGCTCCGCTGTTAGCAATGCACATTTCAATTAAAGAACTGAAGACATCATTAGAAAATGAACAATATGAATAGTATCAAAGCAATCGAACTTACAGTTTTTAACAAGAAGTCGAAAATATCACTTTTTACCAAAAATTACAAAAATATTCACCAAAATAAAATAATTAGAGAATTGAAGATATCATCACGAAATGAACAAATCTGAGAGAGGTTCACATGTAGTACCTATATATGTAGTATCAAAGCAATTGCACTTGCGGTTTTTAACAAGAAGTCGAAAATATCACTTTTTACCAAAAATGACAAAAATATTCACCAAAATTAGAGAATTAAAGATATCATTACAAAATGAACAAATCTGAGAGAGGTCCACATGTAGTACCTATATATGTAATATCAAAGCACTTGCGGTTTTTAACAAGAAGTCGAAAATATCATTTTTTACCAAAAATTACAAAAATATTCACCAAAATTAGAGAATTGAAGATATCAACATGAAATGAACAAACCTAAGAGAGGTCTACCCAAGGTACATATACACCAAGTATCAAAGCATTCAGCTTGTAGTTTTCAAGAAGAAGTCGAAAAAGTAAAACATTGACACGGACGACGACGACGAACAATCACTCATATGATAAGCTCCACTCGACAAAGTCGACAGCGGAGCTAAAAAGATTATTTACACACAAAGCAAAAGTCTCTAGAGAATACAGTACCGGTAACTATCAGCTATGGCAAACGCCATAGGAACCAGAAGAGAACGACTTGCTGCATGATTTATCTTAATGCTGTATGTTAGTACAGTAGGCACGCAACTCATTACAGCAGGAATTCACAATTGCTCGCATCACAGTACTTTGTTTAATATAATCATAATTATTCTTATCTTGTATCTGGCATCTGCCGAATAACAGGAAATACCTTCAAGTGTTAAGAATCATAACCATTTTGTACTTATGTGATGACATTTCAATGTAATCTTGTGCAAAGCCAAATTATCGATTCTTAAGCGACATTACACTAAAGAAAATTTGTGTTCCTGTATTTTCCTGTGTATTACGTAACGTGTGAACTCTGTTACAGCAATTATAAGAATGTAATCACAATGGCTCATAATACTGAAACGTGTTTGAGGAACATGCCCGCATACTGAATGACAGAAATATTAACAGCTATTTCGCACGATGATGAACTAATAATTGTGCATATTTTTTGCAAAAAAATATAATTCTCGATGCATTTTGTTACACTATTATCTTGCAAAACCACTGTGCAAATGTCAGCAACCTAGTACTAATACAAGTCCAATAGAGTGGATTGTGTTTTGTCTCACCCTTGATCAGGACACACTTCGTATATAAAATATACACTAAGCAAACAATATTACAAAACAAGCTTTCAGAATTTATATATACATTGTATATAAATATATATAAACACTGTCATAGTTACATGATGAGTAATCAAAATATACTGATTTAATTAAATTATGGAAATTTCCTGTTGATCTACCCCTAAAAACAACCAAAACAAACAAAAAATTCACTAGAACTGTAAAGAAGTATCCTGGGTATAAATGCAGACACAAGAACACTTACTCATCTTAGAGTCCACATCACGGGTTAAAAACATAGATTACTGTAAATGGATAATTTATACCTAGCATTTTAGGCTACCACTTAGGATCGTTCGCCAAAAAAAAAACACTATTTTACTAAATACACCGACTTCCTGTCTAAAGAACCCCAGTAAAATAGTCAGCGAATTGCTACAAATGTTACGATATTTATGAAAATCACGAAACTGACTCTTGCAAAATTTAAAGCAGTTAACAAAATATAACCAAATTATCAAATCAAATACCTGACTTGTGTGATTTGCAGGCAATAGAATTTTGTACACACAAAAAAAAAAAAAAATAATCACTATACATACTGATTACAATATATTGAAATAATAATTATTGCCTTGAATTCAATGATAAAAAATAATTATAATAAAGTTACAACAATTCTTGGTCCACTCGTCTTTATGCATGTAAGCAATGATTTGAATTTCCTTCCCTAAAAATAAAATCTGTTACTTTATACATCTGTAGAGTTACATCAAACAAAATTTAACAACAGAAAAGCGCAATTAAAAAAGTAGTAATTTATAAATATTCACATAGATTTTACAACTGGCTTTGACAGGATTTTGTGAGGAAGGCCATTTATAATCTGACCTGAAATCAAATCATCCATGATCCCTGGCAAAATAAAATATGTTTGGTGCTATTTATACTATACACCAGTGTGCAATCCGAGGTGGTCGTTTTACTACACCATAAAGGCTGCAAAGTATCAGGGAAAAACAAGATGGTGACCAGTTTTAAAATTTAAAAAAAAAAAAGACAGACATAATTGGAAAGCAGAAGCTGTGGATTCACTCCGATTTGAAGCCTGTGCTGACAGATTACCAAGTCACAATATAGGTTTAGAGTCTTGAATAGTGGCTAACAACTACTAAAACTAAATCATCATTGTGGATCCTCCAGAACTATAGGTGTACATGTTGCTGAAAGAATAACTACGATAGATGCACAAGAGAAAGTTCACAATCACAGACAGTGGTAGGAATCTTGGATTCCTGGTAAGGGAGTGATATACTATGGTACCTTCTTATGTGATATGCTGCTTCTGGAAAAAAAAAAAAAAAAATTATTAGTGAAAAATAATAAAAATGTCTTGATGAATCCTTTTGAATGAATACACATAAAAATTATATTCTCATAGTCACACCTTAATGTATCCAAACTGCATAAAAAAACTTAAACTTAAAAAATTAAACTTAAAAAAATTAAAGTGTTGAACGGATAAGGCTCGACTCGGGAATCATTTATGAACTAGTGGAATGAAGTAAAATGAACTTACTGTCTGAGTCTGTGTACAATTTGATCTACTAGTTTATCAGTAATTCCTGGACTGGATTCCTCCGATAAATCAAAGGCATTCTGTAGTTCATCAATACTTGTATTATGGTGTGTGTACTTGGATTTCAACTAGAAGTGAACAAGAAAACAACAACGACAATGACCAAACTGCATTATAAATCACATCATCTTGTATCTTTCACTTGCTCTTGATGTATAATATCGAAAAAAAATGGTTAACTGATAAAATTGTAGATCACTATGCAAATGAAAGTTTCCGTATTTGTTTTTGCATTTGTTATATACTGAATCATTGACATACTACTTATGTATTGACCATAGAATCACATATATAATTTATCGAATTGCATGTTCTACCAATAAATGTAGTAAACTTAATTTTATGTGTTTAGTGTGAATAATGAACTGCAAAATACATATTATTGTAAAATTAATTTTCGCTGAATAGACTTATTGGCCGTTTTATATGGAATTTATCTTCAAAGATTTTTGACAAGTTGAATGTGAAATAAGGGTATATTCGTCGGATTTTATTTTCACTGAATCATTACTTCAGCGAAAATAGCGACAATTAATTCTAAGCGAAAATAAAGTATTCTACAGTACATTGATGTAAATGTAACCCACTTTCATTTTCATGGGCAAATTGAGAATCTGAAAATCTTGAAATGATGTAACAGTGTACAATCAACCTAAGCATTCAGCACATCACTTGCATGGATAGCCAAGACGATTGTGAAGAAACAGCATCAGTAGACAAAATGGAATGGAATATCATCCCCTCAAATCCCAGAAAAATTGTGTAGTAATGAAAATTAAAACTCACCTCCGTCAATAAAGGCACAAACAATGATTGCAAAGACTGTGATTTGGGTTGTCGAGACATCACTTTCGTAGTATCAGATTCTGGCTCGGCTGATGCGTCCCCATTTGGCTGCATTTTTATGGTATCAAAGATCCATTTACTGTCGCCATGACTACCGTCATTCGTATCCACTTGGTTAATATCTCTAAAGAAGGAACAAACAAATGCAACAGCTACATCACAAAAAAGGATTTTATTCTCATCATGTATGTCATATTAAACAAGAGCAAAAACAATCCTGGTAGTTGAGGGCGCACTTTACAACAAGCCATGGTTAGAACATGCAACTAATTACACAATTCATTCATAGTCAACTTACATATTGTCTTCATCATCTTGATCTTCGTCTGGTGAATCATTCCCAGCTTCTTTGTGTCTTTTATAACGGTCTATTAGTTCTGTTAAGTAGGACGTCTTTCTGGCTTGTTTTATAAATTTATGTCTTAAAAGTTCTTTACCTGTGGGTCTCTGGTGAAAGCAAATGAGAACGAAGCTGTAAGCATTTCAGCTAATTATCTACACCGATACAAGGGACTATTAGTGTTCAAAGAAAACAGCCAGGTTACAGTATACGTTATAACATTATTTTAATGTTCACAGATCAAAAATCCATATTACTTGATTTCGCATACTAAATACTACAAGCAGGCTGTCTTCAGTTTCCAGATAATTGACTCTCAAAAAAATTAAAGACAATTTTAAAATGTCCTTAATTGTCATAACTGGGGAGCAATGGAACACAATTA